AACTGTTCTAACGTAAAGCAAATTTGAAGCACCTCACCATTTCATTCACTTACAAAAATTTATATCTAACCAATTTAAAAAAAATATTAAAATTTCGCAAATTGACTATGGTAGTGAATATGCTTCCCACCACCTTAGAACTACCTACAAAATAATGGCATTAAACATCAAATCTCCTACCCTTACACCCCAAAGTAATATGATCTTGCCGAATGCAAACACACACACATGATAGAAACAACAATAACCCTCGTAAACTCAGCCCATCTACCACGACAATTTCGGATGGAAGCAGTCTTAACTGCCACCCTTCTCATCACCATTCTTTCTCCAACACAACCAACAGTAAATCCCCTCATAAAATAATCTACCATCCAAAACCATAATAGGGTCACCTACACATCTTAGGTCGTGCCAGCTCTCCGGGCAACAAACCCAAATGCACAACAAGTTCACATCAAAAGCACTCCACTGTGTATTCTTTGGCTACAACTCAATACAAAGAATACAAATGCTGGGATATCAACACACAGAGACTCATAGCCTCCATACACGTTAATTTCACTGAAACAAACTTTCTCTATCAAACAACTAACACTCCCTAACTCCAAACAAACCCATCAAACCCACCACCACCCTCTTTCCTTCCTCCCCCCCACAACATGCCTTCAACCACCCATTAACATGAGGAGCTCAAAGTTGTCCATTGTCGCCTAATCAACATGTCCAACCACTTTGTATGCGGGATTTTTGTGACAAATTAAATTGTGAAACTCATTCTATTTTTCTAAACATTAAGCACACAAATACCAAATAATAACTGCCTCATTTATTAAATCTTATTAAATAAAAATGGATGGCAACTAATGTTCAAAAAAATAAATTTGGCGTCCACTAAATAAAAAAAATATTATAAATGTCATCCGTATGTATATCGAGAAAAGTTATTGCATACGGACACCGCATGCGGAGATACATGCGGTGTACGATCCTGACCGCAGGATGCATTTTGGTTCTTTTTTTTTAAAAAAAAAATTAAGTGAGGCCCACCGAAATATATCCTGACCGTAGACCATCTTGATCTAAAATCAGGATCGTCGACGGCTTGTTTTGGCAAAGCATTAATATTAAATATATAATATTTTTAATAATAAAATTAATTTATGGTTCTTTATTGAGAAAATACCTCCACTTTTTCTCTAAAAATACACGTCTGTTTATAAAAAAATTATTCTCACTGATGCATCTATTGGTTGGTTTCCTGCAGGCTGCGTGAGGACTGTCTAAGCTTTCAATCTCTTCATCATCACTCAAGTGTCGAACGAGACTCCTCCTATTAAGGAGGGAGGAGAGCCCACTCAGACAATGTTAACTCACGTGACCCCCTCATCTTGTAGCGGCAGAGCCCCCCCGGGCTC